GAGTGTAACCCAATAGCAGGGAACAGCACCAAGTCCAGGATAAAAGGTACAAATAGGAGATTCCAAAATTCGTCATCAGAGTACAATCCAGGACAAGGCAGGCAGCAAGTATCATAACGGGAAGTCAAGCCAGAGGTCGATAAACAGGAAATCCACATAGTGGGAAAGGGAGGCAGGAACAGGAAGTAACGCTTCGTAACTGCACTGGGTATGTCAAAATAACTCAGCAACAAGTGCTGGCTCTGGCTGGAATTTAAACCCGACAGGGACCAGAAACGTCCCCTTTGTCAGGGCAACGAGGAAGCTAGAGACCCCTGGGAACCCATGGGACGGCGAGGAGAAGAGGGTTTGAGAGAAAGGCCCTCCCTTGCTGATGACCAGCACCTGAAGTGACTAATTGGTCATGGCAACCGCAAGCGTGCACCCGCAACCCAGCCGCCGCTGGGCACCGAATCACCCCAGGAAGAACCCTACAATCTACGCTGTGCCCCCCAGCACCCAGGTAACGGGGCACTCCTGGCCCCATGACACTTTCAGGAGATCTTTCACAGCAGAGCAGAGCTACAATAATGGCACTTTACCATGTAGCCCGCCTTAGCTGGGTCATGTGAACTCTGAGATCACGTGATCAAGCTCAGGGGTTGCATGGGTCAACCCCTGAGCTTCGCCTCACTCAACACACATTAAAAGGTATATCCACCTGAAATTAATGATTGACGTATCAGCTTTAGAGTAGGTGAAGTCTGGCGGGCTGAGTCACTCACTGGCTTCTGATTTCTCCTGGAATTTTTAAAGGTGAGACATCACAAGCATAGTTTCTCATTCTATTACAGTCCAACATTGCGTTTTGGGTGTTCCCATCTATCTTTGCATATTCCCATTAAATTGTCTATAATAAAAATAAATAAATAATCCAGCAGGCAGAGTGGATATAGCATAATCGGGAACTTAGCACAGAGATCTCAATAGTACAGTTCCCGAGAGATTGAAGACACCTTTAACTAGTAAGCCAATGTCACACTACCCATCCTATTGCTGGAGGGAACCCGCCAGTGGCAACGTGTAGATAGAACACTCATCTGCTTGTATGTATTGCTCACTCGCCAGCTGGAGCAGCTAGGTGTTGCTTCCTCCCTGCCGAAAATGCTGCAAAATGTACAGTTGTATCAAGTTTATTCAACCCCCATTGTAAATTTTGCTAGCAAATCTGATTTGCAACGGGGTTGCAAGGGACATGACGCTTTCCTACCAGCCAGGGAGCAAAACATGTAAGCAGCTGAGCCTTCACCTCTGTATTGTGTCCTCCATGACAATCATTGCCACTGGTAGATTCCCAATAGTGGCAGGATGGTGGGCTATCAGCCTTAGGTGGACTGGCCCTCTAAAAATAAGTGCTAGTGCGGGAGGAACTAGAGGCTGATTCCCCAGAACTGGGACCAGACGGATCTGTGATTGCTGTGACCCCTATCTCTATGCCCAACATTCATTGCACCAGCCATTCTTACAAACAGGCATATACGAGTTGCATTTCTGTGTAGGGCCTACAGTCAATATTCAAGCCACATGTCGAACTCATTCATCCTCTATCCTCTTATTTATAATCTTGTTTCCTATTCCTGCTACTCTTCTTTCATCTTGTATTTTATTACTACTTTACAACATTGCTGCATCACATTGTAAATCGAATGAGCCTCTGACTTGACAGATATTAGGGGGAAATATTAGGTTAGGTTCCAAGTGCTTTTCTCAATTTGATTTTTCTCGAGTTCTTTCCAAGAAAATAAATCCATGTATATTGCTTTGGGATAAGGTTATAGACTGCTGGGTGCAGTGGCTTTATCACAAGGGTTACTGTACAGACAAAGGTAACCGATCTATCACTAGTAATACCATC